GGGGGGGGCCAGGTGGGGCCATCCCAGAGAGATACCAGCAGCCTCAATATATTCTCATTGTGCGGCACCGCGCGCGCCACGCAAAATGTGCAAAAGTGCGCGCATGCCTCCCCGCTCCGATCCGGAATAGAATTTATGGAGGAAGAAGTAAAGTTGTTGCCGCCCGGCCCGTTGCACGCGCGCTGGATCCAAAACACATTCTCAGACTGTTTGTTCGAGGATAACGTACGTTATGACGGGGAAAATAAAAAAAAAATTGCGGCGACAATGAGAGCATAGAGTCACATCAACTTCATATTGCAATCATTTTGGAACGTGATTCACCGATAGATACACTGTTAAAGTCCGACAAAGCAATGCTTTGCAGAACTGCGGAGTATTTAGATCCTTTGTTACTCCTGTTACTACGAGGCATTTACTTTGCAAACTACAAAGTAACGCTTATTTGCAGCACTGAAACACGCAGTAAAGCATTGCTATGCAATCGCAAAGCGTTACTTTAATTGTAATTAATTAAACTGCAGTTTAATTAATTACAATTAAAGTTACGCTACATGTAATTGCAAAGTAAATGCTTGCTTGATACAAAGGATCCAAATACTCTGCAAGCATTGCTTTGCAGGAATCTACCAGTGTAGATCTAAGTCGTTCCTCCGAGATTTTTCTTGACTAAAGTCCAACCCCTTAGTAAGATACATATTCCATATTTCGTTTCGCTTCAACCAAAAACAGAAGCGAAGCGCGAAAATGGCAGGAGTCCTTCGAAATGCTATTACATAAAGAGTCACAGTTAAAATGTTTACAGTAAAGTCCCTAACAAGATTTAAGTGGTTGGTTTGAAGGCGCTTGCACCACAATGCGATTTCTCAATCGCTGGTTGTCAGGTACCAGTCACAGGCAGCTACTTAAAGATTGTCCAAAAAAAGTAAATATATATTCGGCAAATGACTGACGGACGATATCGCCTGCGAGACTCGGGGTAGGCCAGCCCGCAGTACACGCATGCGCTTCAGGCAAGATATTTGCCTACCCACCAGGCGCTATGGGAGCCTCCAACTTGGGAGGTTCGTATCACAGCGAACGATATGTTTCCTGTATGAACCCGAACAGAATGCTTGGTTTCTCCTCCTCGCCTGTACGACCTGCGCCTGCGTTGGCAAACGCGAAAGACCACACGACATGCGAAAGAGCGCGACATCACAAGGGTTGTTGTGTTTCCAACCATCGACACACTACATTTCCCCGCCCGACGCGACGCGATGATGATTACAGGGCAACTCCTCGCGCCGCCGTTCCGCGTTCCGAGTGAAAATTAAGGAACTAGCTGCGCTCGGCTCGGGCCGCCCCCAGAGCAGCGCTATAGCTGCGCTCACAAGTGTGAGTGCCAATAGGCGGCGCGGTGCCAATAGGCGGGCGCGCGTGCCGATAATCGCAGCCCCACCACGACCATTACGGACGATTATTATTTCCCCGGCAGCCCGGCATGTCCCGCTAAACGACACGTGAAAAAAATTAGCACGCGCGCCGAGAAAAGAAGTATTAGTGCGGCGTCGTCGTGGAGGCCGTTTCTATATATGATGGCCTGCAGGGGGGCTTTACCCACGATGAAAAGCATACTTGTTTGTTGGTTATAAATCCCAGCAAAATAAAGTTTCTAATCGGTTGTTCTTTTTAGCGACTTTACACACCTCGCTTCAGCTACCCCGCGCATATTGACCACGCACAGGTCCGTGATATGGCACATATACGTTTCCCCAGTCTTGCCCCAGTCCTTTTCACCAAGGAAAGGCCTGTTTTTCTTTGTTGTTAGAGGGGGTAGTAGGGGGACGCTGGGGTCCTAAATGAGCATACCCAGGTCGGCCAAGGAGCGCGGCAGGCATGGGGCGCAGGCACACAAAAATTGTCAGGATGCAGGCGGCGTAAAATCTCGGGGGTTGAGCTGGGCAGGCTGGGTGGGCTGGGCAGGCAGCCTCACAGCTGAGCGGCCTGACGAGGACCACACAATGGTGACGCGATGGTGAGGGGGGGACACCTTTTGAGAAGAAACCCGACCATCTGGAGCAAACGAGGGCGCGCGGGGCCCCCCGGTCTGAGCAGAGGGGGGGG